TTTTTTTTTTTTTTTTATTTAATTACCCACCTTCATAGTTAGCGTTGCGTTGAAATAAGATCGCGTTTTTTCAAGTAGTGTTGCGAATACGTAATGCCCAAAATTCTTCCACGGGGACTGTGGTAGTACAGTCCTGTTCCTGAGGAGAATCACCTGTTGCAGCTATAGAGCTGCAGGTGGATGGTCAGGCATCAGCAGCCTGGACCATGGCTGCCCATAATTTTGCGCTATTAGTGTTGCGCATTTTTACAAATGGGTGCATAAATTAGTATTTATTAGTGTTGCGTTCGTAATCAATACATCTTAGCATAATTATTTTCGGGAATTATCTGTTCTTTTCTTTCTTTTTGTTTTTTTTTTTTTTTTTATAGATTTTTTATAAATGATAAATTAATTTTTGTAGCAAATATTGTGAAGCACCCTTCGCGTTTGAGTTTGTAATTTTTCTGTATTATCGGTAGATTTAACAAATTAGTGTTGCGAAATTTGGAATGATATTTCACTCACGGCTTTTTACTCGGGTTTAATTGAGTGAAAATTTTTGTTTCGGTAGCCCTTCTGGCTACCATTATGTTTTCTTTTTCAGCGCCCTTTATTACGGAAATGTTTGTTATTAAAAACACTGCTGTATAATGTATTTGTTTGTCTTGAATAATTTTTTTTTTTTCTTTTTTTTTCATAAAAGATTTAATTTTTTCAAATCAACTTTGAATTAAAATTCATTCGCGAAACTCGTCTATTTTTAATAGAAATTTTGCAAGTAAAATATTTCGTGTCTGCAATTCGATTTTTCGTACAAATAATATTATTTTCTTTTTCTTTTTTTTTGTTTACGTGTTCGGAGGAATTGCTATTTTTTTTTCTTTTTTTTTTTCTTTTTTGTAGAAATAAGTTTTTGAAAAATTTTGTTTGAGTACCATTAAATTTCTTTTTAAATACAACTTGTTTTCTTTCAGCTGCCAATTTAAAAATATTTATCTACTAATCCAGTTCATAGGTTTGTTTCAGGTTTATTAATTTACAAAGTTTGCAAAATTTACATATTGATATATTTAATAGCATTTCAAATATTCGAGCTTATGTAAGTATGCCAGAGGCTCAGCAGTGGAATAATATATATGAAAAGAAATGACTTAAAGGAAACTGGCGTGTGAGTCTCATTTATTTATTTATAATCTCATCACGTTAATTACTATAATTAATTATATCTCATATAATTTTACTAATTTTTCTCCAGTTTGATATGTTTCAGGAACTATTCTGAGACCTGCGGAGATGATGTGAGGAGATTCAAATTCCATATAACTTCCACATTCTTTTTCCTTAAGATTCAGATTTTTGTATAGATAGGGTTCTAAATCAAATTTTTAACCCGTTATATAGGTGGGGTATATTTCTATATTTCTGATGTATAAATAGTACTCCTATATTCCTAATGTGTAGACTGTCTTCCTGTATTCCTGATAAGTAAGCTGTATTCCTATGTTCCTGATAATTGAGCTGCATTCCTATATTTCTAATAAGTGAGCTGCATTCCTATATTTCTGATAAGTGAGCTGTATTTCTATGTTTCTGATAAATGAGCTGTATTTCTATGTTTTTGATAAGTGAGCCGTATTTCTATATTCCTAATAAGTAAGCTGTATTTCTTTATTTTTAATATGCGGAGTGTATAACTCCCCCGCCTCATAAGGTTTTATAGACATATATTGCGATGTAAAAAAAATAATTCGTATTTTTATATTGGTAGGATTTACAAAATTTGTTTTAGAATCTCTCATGGACTACTGGTGGAAAGCAGTCACGTGGCTTTTTACTATTTCTTTGTTTAAATTCGATATTGGACATGTAGAATGAATTAGATTTTTAATCAGGCAGGACGAATTAGATTTATAATCAGGCAGGACGAATTAGATTTATAATCAGGCAGGACGAATTAGATTTTTAATCAGGCAGGACGAATTAGATTTTTAATCAGGCAGGATGAATTAAATTTTTACATAGGCAGGATGAATTAGATTTTTACATAGGCAGGATGAATTAGATTTTTATTCAGGCAGGACGAATTAGATTTTTAGCAAGGCAGGATATTTTTAAATGCAGTAATATTTACGTTTAAGTAATATATTCGAGGTTAAGATGTTAGTAATACTTAAGTGAAGAATTAATACTTAAACAGGGAGCTTACACTACAATGCTAGGCACATTCGTATTGAAGTAATATAAAGTTTTTAGCCAGGCAGTATTAAGGTTAACTAAACGTAATTATGCATGTTAATAATTGGGTTTATATATAATTAATGGTGGTATTGGTTGTATTAAGTAGTAGTAGTATTGCTTGGTATTAATCTTTCATTTTCAGGTTTAGCTTTTCGCGTCGATTTTTCTTTTCAATCCTTTTTGCCACTGTTTTGTACAACGATCAAAAATTGAACGTTTTACAAACGTGCACAAAAAGGGGAATTTATTAGAATGTTGAGTAATTTTTACGCGAATGGAGGGTGGATGGGACGTGGATAGGGTGGGTCTCCATTCGCAGCACCTCCTCGTGGTGAGACCTGGGCAATCGGTATTATTTGACATATTATTTCTAATTGTACCACTATAGTTATATCATGCATAACTAATAGCTATGATACAATTATGAATGATATAGCAAGTAATTCGAGCTAATTGGCTGCGATCTTAATGTTGTAGTTTTTCGTCTGTTAAATTAAGGAGAAGGAATCGATAAGGGATCATCTTGTAATTTATGTTGTTTAGACTTTAGACATAATTTACGTAGGTATATCAATTAAAATAGCCATCATCGAAGTCGATACCTTGTTTTTAACTATGGTTGCGTTTACAAAGATAGTTCGCTGATTAGTCGAAAAGCAGCTTCTCTGACCACTTCTATACCATATTTTAATAATGTATTTAGGTCCGGGTTTCGATTGCGTAGCCACCTCTACGTGGTGAAACCTGATAATTGGTATATTTCGTGACTTGCCTCCATGAATTCTGTCAAAATCTCTATAGATATTACAAAATAATTCATCTTTGACAAACGATACCAAGCTAAGAACTATGTAGTACTCGCAGTCCAGTCTAGCCTCCGAAAGGCTACCTTCTGGTACCTCAGACGCTAAACGGGAATCGCTAGTACCATTTTATTTGTCCCCCGTAAAGGGCATCGTGAGATGCGTGCGTTTTAAGTTTGATTAGTTATAGGTTCTTTCGTTATTTTAAATTTTTTGTTCTTGATTTTCTGTATTAATTAATTGTGTCTCATTTGGAAATGAGAAATATTTACCCATTCCCCTTCTTGTTCGATTCGCGAAACTAGCGATTATTTGTTCACAATCGCACCATTCCATTGGGTTAATGCGAGTCGAGCAGTCGGTAATATCTCTTGTCTCCTAAGTTGTACTCCTAAGTCGGTTCGTTTCCATCCGAGGGTCTACAGGTTGAGGTGATCGACGGTAGGTAAGTCACGTGCTTTATAGTTCCTTTGGTAACCCTTTATATTGTAGGACAAAAGCACCGAAATGACACGTGACTATTATTTTATTATTTTCGTATCGAGTATAGTGACCACGAATGCTCGTGTATAATTGTTTTTACAATTTTCTGCAGACAAGTCAACCAGTTAGTGAAATTTCAGTTCTTCATGTTTATGATGGCTGTACCCATGAGCTACTCTCTCAAATACTACTCTCATGAGCACAGACGGTGAAAACGGTGTAGTTTATTAGTATTAATCGTAGTTTCTTCTTACTATTAATTACTAAATTAGATATTTTTTTATTTTTCAAGACATTGTAGTTCTTGTAGAATTTTATGACTAGTTTCAGGTATTTGTTGGAATATAGAGCCATATTTCTGTACACATTCAGTACATTTGACCCAACATATGAAATTAAAGAGTATATTTTATAATGCTGACCATTGTTTATTCCAAGAAATCCATTTGTAGCAATTACATTCCGAATTACGGAATTTGGCTTACAATCATTTTCAACTAAGTTGAGGCCTTAAGCTTGCTCTTTCATGAATTTCGAGTAAGACAAACTATCAATGAATATGGCAAGTAAAATAGAACACAAATACCAATACTCTTTGCTAAATATATATTTTCACAATTTTGCTTTGAAAATACAATCTAAAATTATATTAAAACGATTCCTTTATTAAAACAGACATCGTATAAATATTCGCAGATTATTTACATACATCTACAAAAATTATGAAATAAAATTTGTCATGGGAATACGAAATGAGGTTTCCATTGCAAGCATTTGATTTACATTGCTTTCCCCCTGCTCCGCTATCGGCGATGACCACAATGGCTCCGCGGTGTTTAAAACTTCCTCATTTACACCGTTCTTCTCTTTTATCGTCGAAAATGATTCGAATTTTTCAAAAATATATTTAAGTTCCTTCGATAATTGAGTCTCGTTACAGATCTTCGTAGAAAGACAATTCATCATGACTACTTTGCTTCTCAGATCGTTCAATCGCAAAGATATTTTCTGCAACTCGTCTTCCATCCTCGATCTGTACTGTGCCTCCACGTTCAGTAATACTTTATTGTTCAAAAGTTCTTCCTTCAATTTGTAATTAGACTCGATGAGATTTAGCATTTGCAATTCCAAGTCACCCAGCTTCTTCCTTCGACCATAATCTTCCTCTGTAACTCGTAGTTGCTTCGACTGCTTCATTCTTCTTTCGAACCTCTGCATCTTCTTCCAACCATGCTTCTGCAGTGAATATTTCCTCAGCCTCCCCTGAGAGAATTACCATTTTCTTAAATTACCATTATTGAAATCGTCATTTTAGTAGATCGGATAATATGCAAACATTTTTGCTTCGTTCGAGTTACAAAAATATGACTAACAAACTTACTGTACGATTTCTTAAGTGTTTTCTACGTTTCTCCATAAATCTACCAATTCCATTCCTGAACACGCGTCTTTTCCATCCTATTCGATATTTCTTCTTCAGCGTTGCGTTTTCTACTATTTCTCGTCTCCTCTTCAGTATCCTTAACATCATTTGAAGAGTGTTAATGGGTATACGATTTTCAGTAAGGTCCAACTTCGTGATCCTGTTGTTTGATTGCAATAACCGAATCATCATTTCTGCGCCACGCTTACTGATCCCACAATGTCTCAGACTCAAGGATTTTAACCAGACGTCGCTCTTCAATGCATAAATCAAGTGTCTTACACTACTATCACCGAGTTTTGGATTCTGGTTCAGTATCAACGTGTGCAATCCTTGTGGCTGAAAGATATTCAACAAATCAGTACATATATTCGACATATCACAGCATTTGGTACTTACGCGAAAATTGCCAATGGCTTATACAATGATCTCATCTTTTCATTACATTTAACTCTTTGCACTCGACGATTTTTGGCTAGGGAAGAGTAGAAATCCAAAGATTCTCTACTAAAAAAACTGACGATACTTTTTTGAGCAGTAAATAAAGAATTGTAGAATAATTTGATTTCGATACTTCGCGCACTGTTACATTACATTAAATTTGATATATTAATTAATATCGATCTTCCAAATTTTATGAAATGGTGACTGGAGCTCACCTCTCGAGTGCAAAGGGTTAAATGCATTAAAAGAAATATAGCTAAATTATGTCTCGTAATTTTTAACTTTCAAGACAATAAGTATCAAAATTTTGCTCGAGCAGGTAGCTATTTGCTTTTTTAAAAATTTCATCCATTCGTGAAAAATGGCAATGACATTCTTCGCATATACAAGAAGGTATTTAGGGTTGCCAACAGTAGAACGTTTGATATAATCGTTCTTCTTCGTCATCGATAACAAAATTCGCGAGCAAGGAAGTTAATCTTCACCTTCCTATCAGAACTGTCATCCTGAGACTGTACGGCGGATTGCTCCCAAATATTCTGCAACAGATCAGCCTTCCTTCTCTTCAAGAACAGCGACAGGCACATGGCGCTCCTGTTCGTCAGTCTGCAAGACGACAGGTTCAGAACGCAGAGATTCGGATTGTTCCTCAAGCAGCTCAACAGCAAATCACAGCCTGCGTCAAGGAAAGAAACAGAGGGAGTAACTAAAAGTGTCTTAATATAACGACCTAACAGATACCACGTAAAAAGACTCGAAAGAAAAGGTACGTAACTCTGGTCAACGGAATATCCTATATCGGAATATCACTGAATTAAAGAAAAGAAAGGAGCAATAGCTCTTACAACTTATGTATGAGAAGGCTAGAAAATAATACTAACCTACGTCTCCAATACGACATCTCGTCAGAGACAGACTTATCAGCTTCTGGTTGTTTTTCAGCCCGGTGCACAGGATGTTCAGGTACTTGAGCGTCAGCGGAATCCCATCTAGAGTGACCGATGTGATGGCGGAGGAGTCCCTCACGCAAACAGCTATGGCATCCACGAGACATCGCAACAGGAAGTTGGTGTAGAGAATTGGCCTTCCTTGATCCTTTCCCCTGCATCGCCTGGACGTTCATCAAATGCCATTCTAGGGTTTTAACATCTCTGTTTCCGCTCTTTCTAACTCCCATTTCACGAGATCTCGGTCTACTTTGACAGACTTTGGCCTTTCTCTTCCTCCAGGTCTTTCTCTCCTTACGTTCTTTGCATTTCGTTATATTTCTTCTCTCTCCATTTCCGTTCTGGTCTGTCACTCTCTCTCTCTCTCTGCTCATTCTCTGCTGTCCAGGCGATGCCACCTGCAAGCTTAAACTTTCTGGGAGTAGTATCCGCGATGGAAACAAGGCTCATGGCGGGAGTAGGGTTAATCAAGCGTTTAGACCTCGCCCTCTGTGTAGCCATTTTCTTTACAAAGTGCGAGATAAAGTTAGAGAGAGAACTACATGCATTATTTTCTCTATAGCGATAATTCGATTCTTATGAAATACTTTATATAAGAAATAATATTTTTAGATACAACGTTGTGAAATAATATTTTTAAATTTAACATCATGCAATAACACTTTCATAGGACGTAGAATATTACGAAATAATTTTACATATAATACTGCGAGATATATTTTTATACGTAATACTGTCAATTACTTTTTCGTGTAATACTATAAAATATTATTTATATATATATAACGCTATGAAATATTTTTCTAGACAATGTTAGGCATATATAAAATATTTTTATACATAATACTATGAAATATTTAATCTATATGTATATAACACTATGAAACAACATTCTTTTCTATTCAAAATTAATAATATAGATTTTACAAATTAGAGATTATAAAATACAGAAGGAATTACAGGCTAAATATTCGACGAGATACAGGCTACACAGAAGGGAGACAAGAAGGAGTTAAAGCAAAGCTTAAAGCTTGAAATTTAAGTTTGAGCTTGGGGAAGCAACGAAATCAAACGATTCTTCTGATTCTGACAAAGTATCCGTTTACAAGTACCTTAATAGTCAAAGTAACCGAGTGCGCCTCTATTTCCCCGTTACTCGTGCCGCAATCCCCCATATAACAATTTCACAATCTCTTTACGAACATGGTCTGTCTCTATGTAACGTCAGTTCTCGAGTATCAACGGCGTCATCGACTATCCGGCTAGCATCTCGTTCGCTCAAATTCTCAGACCCTCCGAGTCACGTTAATTACCATAATTTCTCGAGCTTATCCTCCGTATTCACTTTCTCCCGTACACGTTTGCAGCGACTTCGACTATAGATATTAATTCTCGACAGACTTCGATTCTCGGCGATACTTCGGAGTATTGGGGACCAATCTTTGAGAGCCACGCGATCCGCGCAGAATCGCAAGCAACTCTTTGGTAAATATGCTTGCACGGCTGCTAACGGCTTAACGGACTTTTCCTCGCACAGAACCTTGTTAAAAAATATCGTCTATAGTATACGACAAGTAGAAATTCATTTACGAGAACGTTAAGTTAAATTGTTATTCTTTGATACCAAATATAATTAGCATTTCTGAAGAACGAAGTTTGCTAAAACGTCAGGTCAAACCTTTGTTAGGCTACTTTCGCTTCCCTTTACTTATTTCCTCCGATCCGCATTTTTTACTTTTTTACAAAATTTTTATTCCTTTTTTTTTTTTAATTCCGCCGATAGAGTTAGGTTATCGAGGTGTCGTAGTTAATCGGCGGTAAGTTAGTGCCGATTATGGCAATTGGAATCGAGTTGATCGAAGGATGTTAACGAACCTTGTATAACCAACCAAACTGTCCACGATCGGTTCTTCTCATCTCTTTGCTATTTTGCACAACACTAAGAACTCGATACAATGTCGATACTCGCTTCTTCGTTTATCATCGTACGAAACTTACTGATCGACGAACGCACTTGGACATGTCATTGGAGAAATGAATCGGTTAAAAAAAAAAAAAGTTAGATTCAAAATACCTCTCGCTAAAGGCGTAGAAAGAAAGAAACTGCGGTTACGAAATCTATCGAACATTTGACTATTAATTTCCTCCGAGCGCAAACTTCGTGTCACTGGGAAATGTTTACTTGTTCCTGGAACATGAAAAGATTCTCAAGGAATGAAATAATAAAACGACGGATCGGGAAGATCCACATTCGCCTCATTCGTGCATTCTAACTTCCAATCAATCGTGATTCATGCTTTCAGTGAACAGGATTTTCTATCTTATACTTTCAGCTATCTTTTATCGTTAGTTCAATTATATTTAATTTAAGTTCATTTAAATAGGTTTAAATATAGAGTTAACTTACTTTGGTATACTATTTCACGTTTTCTCTGTCTTAAGTCAAAAAGTGACGGGGTCTCTTTAACGAACGTCAAGGTAATTTAATTATTTAATTTACTCGAATTTGTATGTTTAAATTATCGGGCCTGTTCTATCGTTCTATCGGTTAATCTAATCACCCAGATTCGCTCGTTAATTGATTCTTAAGATAAATTAGTTTATCCTTAGGATAAATATCTCTACTATTTGACCGCACTGACTGCACACAACGGACACGATTAATGTCACTTACAAGTTAATTATTATTATATATTATTCTGATTATCCTGTGAAGTTAAAATTCATAAAACATGTCTATATAAATAACAATTGTAACGAATTTCATTAATAGATTAGATGTAATAGATTTTATAGATAGATTTAATAGATTGAATAGTAAACAAATTGGACTTACGGTTAACAGTGGAAGAGTAAACGGTCATTGCCATTAGCAGCCATTTATATATTTAACTATCTACTTATTCGTCATTACCGCTATTAATGTGTAGTCCTTAATGCCGATATAACTGACCTCGGTTACGTGTATTTCCTGTTTGCCTTTTTCTTTCTTTGTCCCTAATTATCGAGATTAAAAAAACTGGCCTGCATTTCCCCTCAAATCTCAATAAATGATAGATAATACCGGTATTCTTTTTGCAAATCGATCCTAATTTTTCGAACATCTACTTGAGGTCACCTGTCGAACCGGCATTTATTTGCAAACTTCGATTCTATTTACTTCGTTTTTCCTCGAATAGGGGTAAAGGGTAATTGTAATAAATAAATATGCAGTGGTAACTTGTGGTAACTATGGAAAAATAAAATTATAGAAACGTTAAATATGTGAAAAAGAAATAAAGTTGATAAAAATGATGATAATAAGAAATCGTTGCTTACTTGCTTTATTACTTTTATTCTATCTTTTAAAATATCAGACTGAACAGTTTAATTTTTCGTTAAGATTCCCGTATCTCATTTGTTGATCTTCATTGATGTTTTGTTTTTTAATCTTCGAATGTTATCGTATTCTCAGTAGCTGATAGGTACCGTTGTTAGCAGCAATTACAGGACTTTTTAAATGCTTTAAGACGTAGGATTTATCTTAGAAAATTATATTAATATTTCTTTGAACACTAATTTACGTAACATTTTAATTCTGTAATTTATTCCTATTTTATATTTCTTTATTAAACTGTACTACGTTTGCCACGTTTATACATCTTTGTCAACTTTACTACGTTTGTTTTATATAGGTGTGATTATTTCGATTATAACAATGACGTAATAACGTTGTTTAATCGTAAAACGTTTCACTTTGTGAATTTCATCTAACACACTGTTTTTACAATTTTATTTTACATAATTCGATTCTCCGACTATTTATTTAAATATAAAATATGATGCACCGTTACCTACAGTGTCTCTTAGTATTTACAAGATTCATTTTTTTATTATTTTTAGTATTTTTTTTATTAAAATTGCCGTACTGTTGAATTAATCTTGTAGATATACGTATATTTGTTTAGTATTTTATCATTGGTAAATTATTGCTATTTTTATTGTTATTCTATTCCACATTTTCTAACACTTTTAATAACTTTTACAAGTGTTTGAATTTCAAATATTCGGATTAATTTAAAACTTAAACTGTTCCATAGGCTATTATATTTACTAAAAGTATTTAAGCTCTAAGTTAGTTTAATATTTAGTCTATTCCACATAGGTTATACTATTTATTAAAAGTATGTAAGTTCCATATAGTGAAGCTGTTCCATGGCCCTTCTATTTACTAAAAATATTCAAATTTCAAATAGTCAATTCAATACTTCATCTGATAGACTACTATGTTTACTAAAAATATTCAAATTTCAAATACCTAATTCAATTTGATACTGAATTCGTTCGATACGCCATTCTATTTAGTAAAAGTTCTGAAGTTCCAAATACACAATCTGCTCCATGAGTCATCCTATTTATTAAAAGTATCCAAATTCCAAATACTTAATTTGTTTCATGGGCCATTCTGTTTGTTAAAAATATTCAAATACCTATTTATTGTATTTGATATTGATTTTATTGTAGTCTCCCTATTTATTGAAAGTATTCGAATCCCAAATGCATAATGTGTTCCATGGGTCATTGTACTTTGATTAAAAGTATTCAAATCCTAAATACTTTATTTGTTCCATGGGTCATTCTATTTATTAAAAGTATTCAAACCCTAAATACTAAATTTGTTCCATGGGTCATTTTATTTATTAATGATATTCAAATCCTAAATACTTAATTCAGAGTAATACTTAATGTGTTTAAAGGACCATTATATATCGAATAGATATATTCAAATCACAAGTGTTCAATACAATTCAATACTTAGTCTATTTCAAGGGCCATTATTTTAACTGGATGTATTGAAATCATAAGTACTTCATTCAATGTAATACTTAATCTGTTCCATTGGCCATTATATACAATAAAAATATTCAAATCCCAAGTATTTAGTTCAATGGAATAATTAACCTGTTCCTATGGGCATTATATTTATTAAAAGTATTCAAATTCCAAATACTTAATTCAAAGTAATACTTAAACAGTTCCGTGGGCCATTCTATTTATTAAAGGCATTCAAATCCTATAATTTCTTCCGTGAGTCATTATAATTATGAAAAGTATTGAAGTCCTATAATGTGTTCCGTGGGCCATTATATTTATGAAAAGTATTCATTCCTAAATACTTAATTCAATCCAATACTCAGTGTGTTCCATGGGTCATTCTATTTGCTAGTAATATTCAAATCACGAGTATTTATTTCAATGGAATAATTAACCTGTTCCATAGGGCACTATATTTATTAAAAGTACTCAAATTCCAAATATTTAATTCAAAGTAATACTTAATCCGTTCCATAGGCTATTATATTTGTGAAAAGTATTCGAATCCCAAGTACATAATTTAATGTAATACTTAATTTGTTCCATTGGCCATTATATTCAATAAAAATATTCAAATCCCAAGTATTTAAGTTCAATGGTATAATTAACCTGTTACATGGGGTATTATATTTATTAAAAGTATTCCAATTCCAAATACTTAACTCAGAGTAATACTTAATCTGTTCCGGGGGCAACTATATTTGTGAAAAGTATTCGAATCCTCTAATCTCTTCCATAGGCCATTATATTTATGAAAAGTATTTATATCCCAAATACTTAATTCAATGTGATACTTAATCTGTTCCATTGGCCATTATATTTAATAAAAATATTCAAATCCCAAGTATTTAGTTCAATGGTATAATTAACCTGTTCCATAAGGCATTATATTTATTAAAAGTATTCAAATTCCAAATACTTAATTCAAATCTAATACTTAATTTGTTCCATAGGCTATTATATTTGTGAAAAGTATTCGAATCCTATAATCTCTTCCATAGGCCATTATATTTATGAAAAGTATTTATATCCCAAATACTTAATTCAAATCTAATACTTAATTTGTTCCATAGGCTATTATATTTGTGAAAAGTATTCGAATCCTATAATCTCTTCCATAGGCCATTATACTTATGAAAAGTATTCGTATCCCAAGTACTTAATTCAATGTAATAATTTGTTCCATTGGCCATTATATTCAGTACAAATATTCAAATCCCAAGTATTTAGTTCAATGGAATAATTAACCTGTTCCATAGGGCACTATATTTATTAAAAGTACTCAAATTCCAAATACTTAATTCAAATCTAATACTTAATCCGTTCCATAGGCTATTATATTTGTGAAAAGTATTCGAATCCTATAATCTCTTCCATAGGCCATTATACTTATGAAAAGCATTCGTATCCCAAGTACTTAATTTAATGTAATACTTAATTTGTTCCATTGGCCATTATATTCAATAAAAATATTCAATTCCCAAGTATTTAGTTCAATGGAATAATTAACCTGTTCCCTAGGACATTATATTTATTAAAAGTATTCAAATTCTAAATACTTAATTCAAAGTAATACTTAATCTGTTCCATAGGCTATTATATTTGTGAAAAGTATTCGAATTCCAAATACTTAATTCAAAGTAATACTTAATGTGTTCCACAGGCTATTATATTTGTGAAAAGTATTCGAATCCTATAATCTCTTCCATAGGCCATTATATTTATGAAAAGTATTCGTATCCCAAGTACTTAATTTAATGTAATACTTAATTTGTTCCATTGGCCATTATATTCAATAAAAATATTCAAATCCCAAGTATTTAAGTTCAATGGTATAATTAACCTGTTACATGGGGTATTATATTTATTAAAAGTATTCCAATTCCAAATACTTAACTCAGAGTAATACTTAATCTGTTCCGGGGGCAACTATATTTGTGAAAAGTATTCGAATCCTATAATCTGTTTCATAGGCCATTCTATTTATGAAAAGTATTCATATCCGAAGTACTTAATTGAATTTAATACTTAATCTGTTCCATTGGCCATTATATTCAATGAAAATATTCAAATCCCAAGTATTTAGTTCAATAGAATAATTAACCTGTTCCATAGAGCATTATAGTTATTAAAAGTATTCAAATTCCAAATACTTAATTCGATGTAATACTTAATCTGTTCCGTAGGCCATTCTATTTATTAAAGGCATTGAAATCCTATATAATTTGTTCCGTGGGTCATTATATTTATGAAAAGTATTGAAATCCTATGTGTTCCGTGGGCCATTATGTTTATGAAAAGTATTCATTCCTAAATACTTAATTCAATTCAATACTCAGTTTGTTCCATGGGCCATTCTATTTGCTAGTAATATTCAAATCCCAAGTATTTAATGTAATGCAATACTTAATCTGTTTTCCACGGGCCATTATGTTCGCTATAAACATTCAAAACCCAAATACTTAATTCAACGTGATACTTAATCTGTTCCATGGGTCATTCTATTTACTAAAAATATTCAAGCTTCAAATGCCTAGTTCAATTCGTTGCTTAATATGTTCCAAGGGTCATTTTATTTTCTAAATTTCTCGAAGTTACCAATGTTCTCAAGGAATAATAGGGAACGGACTCTTCGATCTAAGAGAAAGAAAGCAGAAAATGACCAAGAGATATCAAGCAGAGACGAGTGTTAACCATAACGGATATTTACCTCGAACACACACGTATACCCGTCTATTAAAGGTGTGTTAATTGAAACGCCATGTGCAAGATACAGTTCCACGACGAAGGTGCAACACGAGCGAGAGACAATTACAAACTCGTTACTCGGTGATCTCAGAGGCAAAGATAATTTCGTGTAAAGCGCCCCTGGACAAATAATCGCTTTGTGCCACCGCTATGTAAACTCGCAATAATAATTGTCGAATGATCCCGTTATTTGCCACGCGCAAATTATAGATACTCGCTAATTTTCTTTGACTGTAACCGAGCATATAATGCTTCTTATGCTTCCTAATCCGCACTGAATCGATAAATTCTTTCTCGTTCAACATTTCATGTGCCGAATATTTTTGCGTATCTTAATAAATTTGTTATTTACGTGGAAATATATACGTATAAAAAAATATATATATCATATCTTGTTATTACTGGGCAAAATGATCTTCTTTATCTTCCTTTAATAGACGTTTAATAGAGGTTTAAGATACTTCTAGATATATTTTGATGAATATTTAATTTTATATATCTTGGCTACTACTATTGGATGTTGAACTTGGTTTTACTTTCTCCTTAGCTTCTTTTCTACTCGTAAAAGTTTTCATTGTTTAAGTAATTCCTGATTTATAATGGTATTCAATCATAATTTATATCTTTTGTCCCTTTTACACCTCTCACCTCCTACTTAATTCCTGTTTACTTATTCCTCGTGTCTTGAAAATCTATTTAGCGTAATCTAAATACTTAAAACTCGTATCAAAGGGAATCCAAATATCAGCAGGTCGAAGAGTTTCACACGCTTTACAAATCAACTTTCTCTTTCTCCTTCGTTACGTGTCGGAATATTGTCAAGCACGTCTCACACTTGAGAATTTTGTAGCTTCTGCGAAATGAGCCGGGTCGCGGTGTGCAATTGCTGCTCGCCATTCAAACAGCGTGCATTATTAGCCTTTCAAATCGAATAATAGCTTCAAGGAGATTCTGTTGAATGTTTCATAACGTGCCGTTCGGTATCGAGCTGCAAACCTATCGCATGTTATCGTAATGCTGCTATATCTATCGCACGTTGATTGGTCAAAAGCGTCATTAGTGTCCTCTTAATCAAACGAACACGGCCGAACTATGAATTATTGAATATCGTAAGATGATTGATAATTTCGTTATCCGACTACGTTGGCCCTAATTAATCGTGACCGTAGTATCTGCTGATTTATAACAACCTCATCGAAATAATCGGAAAATGGTTTACTTGTTAAAAATTCTTCATATTCTTCGAGAAACGATTCTTCTTTTAACTTGCTTACTCGGAGTTCTCTCTCTCTCTCTCTCTCTCTCTCTAAATCGGGTGCCAAGAATATTTCTCTACAAAGCCTACACGCGTCTATTATTTTTAGCTGTGTACTCTACACGGACTGCTACCATCTCTGAAACATAATATCCATTAATTATCTCGAAGAGGCTACACATCACTTCCCGAAACATAGTCGTGATTAATCTTGTTAACACACCTGCATCTTCACTCTTCCCGACGTCGTCGCTATTAGTTTCACTAATGGGTCTGTATTCGTCTTACGGATGTTGTCATCTCTAAGTTCACTGAACGGTCTATACTACTTTTCGGCCAATCGTCATCGGTAATTTCTCCTAACAGGCCTACTCTCTCGTTATCTCATTTATAATGCCAGTCATCGAATAGCGAACGATAACTGAAGAAAAACAGCCTATTTCCTAAAACTTGATTTGGATCTTGATCTCAATTTCAATCTGCAAAGCTTGCAACTCGCAACTATCGAGAGGAACTATCGCCCATGGTATCTCCGAAGATATGATCGAAAACACTGGTTGCCTCGAATTTTCTTTGAACCGCTTATCAAAATGGAGGTCTATTAAACGAATAAATCACACACAACGTCACGTAACGCACGAACGTGCCCTTAACGAAGAGAGATGCCCCGACACGGCGCAGTCCCAGAGAGCAAACAAAATATTTGGCTAGGTGCTCGAGAAGAAGAGGGGCAAAGGCATCCCGATCCGTGGCCTCTTCGGCCCGCGTCGTCCTCGTGGAATCGCAAACTTTAGTCAGTGGATTCGAGGCCACTATGCCGTCTGCAACTGGGCCTAGCTTTATTAAAACGTCGTGCACATCTCCAGACACCGTGACGCTTAACAATGCATCGATCGGCCGATCGCGTCTCGAGAATCAATGAAAACCAGCGATTCCTCTCGTCGTCGTTCATCGAATCGTCTCGTTGAACCGTCTCGCGTCTCGGGAATCGTCCCGTTGAACGCGTTGAAACTGCGATCCGGTCACCATCATTACAGGGTCCATTCGAGGAATAGTTTTACACCTGTTCAGAGTTCAGACGAGTCCACAAATTGCTCTATAAAACTGTCCGCGACGGTATATGAAATTTATAACACAAGTTGAAAGCGTTGACGTTGATTATTCGCGAGTGAGATCTAGCAGACAGCGATAAACGTCGGATCGTTGAGAAGGAATGCGCGCGACCTCGAGGTCTAAAATGTCTCTGGGAAGCCTGAAGCCGATGTTGAAACGCGATCAGGATCGCGCCGATGATCGACGTTGTCCGACGATTTCCCAACTTGGTCCCTGTCCAAACGGATCGATCGTTCATTGACAGCCCTCGAAAACTTTGGGTTCTCGTTCTCCGATTCTGTTTTCGCTTCTGCGACCGACACACGCGTCTTCGAACTCGGCTCTCGTTCTCTATCTCCATCTCTCTTCCCCGCTGCCTATCCTCGAAACGTAAATTTCCGCGTGCACGGACGTGTTTACGTGTTTGGAACGCGGTGTAATCCTCGCGGTTACGTCGGTCCACGTCGTTTCCAAGGTTGATCGAAGAAATTACGGCCGCGGAACGAATCGAAATCGGGTGGAGTTCGTGACGTGAATGTTGGCTCGAGTGACTTTCGGATGTAGGAATCTGAAATCGACGATCCAGAGGCCAGAGTGATAAGATAAAGCGGAGAATGTCGGGAGCTAAAAGCGTGTACCTGTGATTTCGAGGCTGGCCTTCGCGTCGCTCGGTTCAGTGTCAGACTCGATGAATCTCAGAGCTGATTCGCGTTTACGGGACCTGTGACTGCCAGTAATTGCCGTTTCTGCTCTCTCGATCCTTCCGTGATACTCGGGGTGTTACGAAGAGGGATTTTGGTTAAATTCGTGTTGCAACATTGATCGATGCGCGTGTGAAGAGATTTGAAAGAATTTGAAAGAATTTGAAAGGATTTGAAAGGATTCTGGGAGCTGTGCTTAGGGTTTCTGATACTCTAGGATCTGTGATTTGGATCTGTGAAAAGTTGGATTTGGTTCTAGATCTTCTTCGGTGCATCGTAGGTATATCTATTTCATTGCAATATTATTCCCGTCACGAGACTTGTTTTAGTTTTTTTTATCGTTAACTTTGCTATGCGAGATTCAAGTGACTCTTTTATCGTCTAGATGATTTATGGATTTTTAAGGAAACAGAGAGTTTTGATGCTTTAAGCTACCTGGTAGTTTAAGTGGCATCTGATCTGCTATGAATATATTTTCTAAAGCACGATGTACCTATATTATCTCGATAATATCAGTAACTTATTCTCGACTTTGATTTACTTTACTTGTAGCGTTAATTCATTTTCGTTAACGATCTAACTTATTCTTCTATCTGCTACGAGTAATTTTGCTAGGGGACTTATTATCTTTTTAAGCTTCTTAATAACTTTATCTTAGGAATATGTCTCTCGAAGAATTCAGCGTATTTTAATGCCACGAATAATTGTGCCGCGAGATCTATAGTAATCTCTTAAGGTATATTATTTTCTCTCGGCGTACCTGATTTTTCTTCGTTCAGTGTCATCGTAAAGGAACTCATCACCATTGAGGAACTTCGTGTACTTGCGATTTCAGTGGCAAACATAAAGGCAGACAAGAACGTGTATACCAGCGATATACCGTGTAATTAGTGTCGATGAGTGTTAAATACTTTGAAGTGCTCGGACCATGCAAGAACCTTACTCTTTCAATGATCATGCGCTCTTCGTCAGGAATAATGCAAATGAAAATTCAACTAGTACACGTTTTCGTGGTAAGTTGCGGTTATTTCTTGATTACACAGCTATGCTTATTAACGTAACATCTCATAAATATTCATAATCTCTTACTCATCCTGATCCACTCCATTTTTCGCTCGTTACTTCCTGCAACTACCAACACGCATCATTCTCGAACTTGTTCCACGACATTGAGGAGGGACGTTCAACCTACTTGTACCTATCTTACGCGTTGAATTCTTGTTTTCCAATTGATTATGCACGTCACGAGTACTTCCCATCGTGAACCGTATTTTTGTATCACAATCATTTGCAAAGAGGACAAAATTTCATACTATCCTTCGAGGTACATTGGACGTTACTCCTTGTAAGATAATATAATTCAGATTATTTAATTTCAATAATTTAACTTCGAACATTCAATTCGAGCCAATCGATTAGAATCAATCAATTATGAGCAATTAATTCGAATCATTCAGTTAGGATTACTTAATTGGAATTATTCAGTTAGGATTACTTAATTCGGATCATTCAGTTAGGATCATTCAAATCGGGTCAATTCAATTCTGATCAATCAATAAGGATCATTCAATTAGGATCACTTAATTTGGATCAATTCGATTCAGGTCTTTCAATTCGGATCATTCAGTTAGGATCATTTAAATCGGGTCAATTCTAATTAATTAATTAGGATCATTTAATTTGGATCAATTCAATTCAGGTCTTTCAATTCGGATCATTCAGTTAGGATCATTTAAATCGGGTCAAATCAATTCTGAATAATCAATTAGGATCATTGAATTTGGATCATTGAATTTGGATCAATTCAATTCAGGTCTTTCAATTTGGATCAATTCAATTCAGGTCTTTCAATTTGGATCAATTCAATTCAGGTCTTTCAATTCGGATCATTCAATTCAGGTCTTTCAATTCGGATCATTCAGTTAGGATCATTTAAATCGGGTCAAATCAATTCTGAATAATCAATTAGGATCATTGAATTTGGATCATTGAATTTGGATCAATTCAATTCAGGTCTTTCAATTCGGATCATTCAGTTGGGATCACTTAATTCGGATCAATTCAATTCGGGTCTTTCAATTCGGATCATTCAGTTAGGATCATTTAAGTCGGATCAATTCAATTCGAATCAACTAATTCGGATCATTCAGTTAGGATCATTTAAGTCTGATCAATTCAATTCGAATCTACTAATTCGGATCAATCAATTTGGATCATTCAATTAAGGTCATTTAATTAGGATCAGTCAGTTGGGATCATTCAATTCAGATCACTTAATTCGGGTCATTCAGTTAGGATCATTCAATTCGGGTTACTTAATTCGGATCATTCAATGTGGATAATTTCTTTGCATCTTTGCTCCTATGGAAAAGATTTATGAAGGTATTACGATACAAGAGATACAAAAGAAAAGGAACTGCTCTTATTTTTTCTAGAGTCCAGTCGATGAACCCTGAACGATATGTTGAAGAGAAACGAAGGACTGTGCACGAGGTGAGAAATTGCTTCGAGGATGGGTTGCAAGACTAGCATGTTAGAATGTATAGAAGACAGAGGGGAGGCGGAAAAGAGGAAGCAATCAGATATGCTGGAGCAAGGAACCTTACTCGGTAATAACTATATATCATAAGATAAATTTCCCGGTATTTTGGCCTTTTTCATTGGCAAATACATTATATGTAACCTTTTTCTACAAACTTTTCTTTATGGATTAAGTATTGTCGTCTTATTCCTCTACTTTGTTCTCGCGTATGATATTCAATTCGAGACTATTGATACTTTTGGCTTCCTATTTCCTTAACCGTGTACCCTTCTATTTATTCATTTTATTCGACCATCGACTTCTTTTCATTCCACTTAAAAAAGTCAAAATAGTGATAGCTTTATAGTAACATTGTGCTTCTACCGATTTGTTAAATAATTAAAAGCTTAACTCTTTTCAAGAAGACTCGTAAAGGATCTATACTAAATTTTCAAACGATTAAAAAGTTCTGTCAATCTTTTTTTGTTTTCTAAACAATTAATTCTCTCTCTCAAAAAAGGGGGAAAGAAATACTTATAAAAGATCTTCATTTACTTTTGAAAGGATTAAAAATTTCTCAACAATCTGTTCTTTTTAAGGCAGACGTAAAAAGTAGTCATGTTTACATCTACATGATGTGAAAAATCTATTCATTCGTTCCCAAAACTCGATATACAAATATTCCCTCCTCAATTTCACAACTCTACGAATCAAATACGCTAATTCGCTCTGTTTTCCTCTACAATTAAACCCAACATCCAATCAACAAGTTCAAGCCAAGCATTCTCTTAATTACACGACAAATCGAGCCACTTAACACAACGATCTCTCGTAATAATTCCAAGGCAGATTACACGATACGCACTCTCCGAATGGTTAATCGAGTTTACTGATTTATCTCGTGCATCTCCAGTGACACTCGAGAATAAAAAAGGAAACGAGAAAAAATAGATAGAAAGAAAGAAAGGGAGGAAGAGAATTCTACTCGAGATTGTTTATCGAACACGGGATCAGGGGATCTGATGATCTTGGATGTCTAGTGCGTACTGGGACAGGAAAGATTCGAAGTTGAAGGCGTACAACGATCGGTGAAGGAAAATAAATATTGCAATCAGCTGTGGAGGATTGCGTCTCGCAAAAGAGCGGACCGAAAGAGTACTACCTCGAGTGATTCTCCTTGACCTGGTCTCTCTACGCTGCGGCCACGCGCCGTATCCTCGACTGGAGGCAACGTTCGAGACATGAATTAATTAAAACTACGAGGTTTCGGAAAGCAAGCAGCGTTTTCTTCTGAATTTCGATCGAACTGTCAAACGACAGATGAATGTCATTTTCGAGTAGAAATTGTAACTATGTTATAGTGCTGTGGATCTATGGTGAGATCTCGTCAGAAGATGAGTGGATCGTGAGAGGATCGTGAGTGGATTTTGAATTAATTTTGGATAAACTTTGGATAAATTTTGATGAGTGAATCGTGAATGGATCGTGAATGGATCGTGAATGGATCGTGAATGGATCGTGAGTAGGTCGTCGGTGGATTTTGAATTAATTTTGAATAGACTTTGGATAACTTTGGATAAATTTTGATGAGTGGATCGTGAGTGGATCGTGAGTGGATCGTGAGTGGGTCGTGAGTGGATCGTGAGTGGGTCGTGAGTGGGTCGTGAGTGGGTCGTGAGTAGGTCGTGAGTGGGTCGTGAGTGGGTCGTGAGTGGGTCGTGAGTGGGTCGTGAGTAGGTCGTGAGTAGGTCGTGAGTAGGCCGTCGGTGGATTTTGAATTAATTTTGAATAGACTTTGGATAAATTTTGATGAGTGGATCGTGAGTGGATCATGAGCGAATTGTGAGCGGATTGTGAGCGAATCGTGAGCGAATCGTGAGCGAATCGTGAGTGGATTGTGAGTGGATTGTGAGCGAATCGTGAGTGAATTTCGAATAGATTACAAATAGATTTCGAATAGATTAAAAATAGATTTCGAATAGATTAAAAATAGATTTCGGATAGATTAAAAATAGATTTCGGATAGATTAAAAATAGATTTCGGATAGATTACAAATAGATTCTAAGAGGTTTCTAAGAAACTAAAGAGCTAAGAAGCGAGGTGGATTAACAGAAGATCGATTTGATTGGAATATACACTCGTCAAAAGAAACGTTTGTAAATAAGTTTTATCGCTTTTGGAGATTTGATAAGGGATCTTTGGAACCTTTCATAGCGAAGAATTTTGATTTCCGAAGATTTAGATTTATCGAGTTGATCTGAACTTAGGCGTTCTTTAATCAGCTACATAGCATTATACATAAGGAACGTAACAATAAAAAAGGGATGAAGCTCTAGAATTTTGGAGTAACTTTTTTGGTACTGATATCTGAATTAATTTGTTAGTACCATTGCCAATACCACCACACTTTACGAGTTTTTTAATTAATCTACTATTATATGGTACACAAGGAAAGCACTAGATTTCAAAAATTGTACATTAATGTTTTAATGTAGCACTTGGATTTATTTCTATGGAATTAATTAATTACTATTTTTGATCGTTATATTCTTAACTTTTGAGTTAATCTACTGTTATACGGTACTTAAAGAAATATATGTATATATAAACTTTTAAAATTGTACATAAAGTTTTCAATACTATTTTAATACCACTTATTTCTATGTAATTGAAGTTTTGCATTACTGTTATAGTCTTCAACTATTATCTTCTCAACTTGTGAATTAATCTTCTATTATATAATATTCAAGAGAAACATATAAACTTTCAAAACTGTATATAAAGTTTTCATTACTACTTTAATATTACTATATAATATTCAAGAGAAACATATAAACTTTCAAAACTGTATATAAAGTTTCATTACTGCTTTAATACTATTTTTATTCCTATGTAATTAAAGTTTTGCTTTACTTTTCTTATAATCTTCAATCGTTATCTTCTCAACTTGTGAATTAATCTTCTATTATATAATATTCAAGAGAAGTATATAAACTTTGAAAACTGTATATAAAATTTTCGATACTATATTAATACCCTTTATTCCTATATAATTAATCAAAATTTTACTTTACACATCTCATCTACGATCTTCGTTCGTTATCTTCTTAATTCCTTGTTAAAAAGGAAAAAAAAAAAAAAAAAATTCCAAAACCTATTTAATATCTACATCTGTGGCAATATATTTATCCGTATCATCAAATAGCATCTAATTCATATATCTGTCCCAACTCTTATTTAC